CAGATTGGGAAAAACATTTGTAACACATGTAACGGCCAAAGTTAAAATTATCATTCTACCAAAAGCTACAGCAAATGGATACTGGAAAGCCAGAGGAAGGTGTGAGGAAAAGGAGGAAACAGGCAAGAAAAAGTCACATTAATTCACAGAAGAAGAATGCTAATGGCCAATACACATAAAGATGTTAAACTTCACAACTGCCAACACACATTAAAACATGATGTGACATTTCCCCCCGTCAACTGGCAAAAGATAAAAAGAGTGGTAATATCCAGTTGTTGTATTTATTTATCTATTTATCTATTTGACAGAGTCTCATGTTCAATGAGGGGAGAAATTTACATTGCTAAAAAAAATTTTTAAAAGGGCTGGGCAAGGTGGCTTATGCCTGTAATGTCAGAGTTTTGGGAGGCAGAAGTGGGAGGATCACTTAAGGCCAAGAGTCCCAGTTCAGCCTGGGAAACACAGTGAAACCCCAGCCTATAGTCCCAGCTACTCCATAGGCTGAGGTGAGAGGATTGCTTGAGCCCAGAAATTGGAGGTTGCAGTGAGCTATGATTATGCCACTGCACTCTAGTATGTGTGACAGAGTAAAACTCTGTCTCTAAAAAATAAGTAAAAATATAATAAAAAGAAGACCTATGTGAATGGATTGGCAAAAGAAAGCTGGAAAGGACCAAGCAGGACTTTTTGGAGACTGTACAATTTTGTTCTACAAACAATGGGGAAAACATTCATTAGAGCGCATATAAGAGAATAACATAATTTAATCATTTCTTTCTTTCTTTCTTTTTTTTTTTTTAATGTTCGCTCTTTTAAAAGATCACAATCACTCCAGCTGTACTACATTACTGGACTAGAAAGGAGCAGTTTTAGAAATGAGGAAAAAAAGCTAAGAGGCTATTTCTCAAGACCAGAAGAGGTTATGACAGCAGGATTCAGAATAGGTTGGTGATAGTAAGAAATGAAGAAAAGTACACAGATTGCAGGTACAACTAGGAGGTAAAATTGATAGGATTCTGGGCAGACAAAAAGGGATGGGGTCGAGGATAAGGAATGCTGGAGAAAGGGCAGTCTGGGGATGGCGGGTTGGTTGAATGGTCCTGGGGCACACAGGAAGGGGAGATAATGAATTCAGGTTTGGATATATTCATTCTAAGATGCCCAGGAAGCGATCAGGTAGAAACACAGGGTTGCAACTTAGAAAAAGGTAATCTATGCACTAGCTACATAGAGATGGTAAATGAATCAGAGGGAACAGATGAGATTACCTATGGAAACTCAGTAGTGTGAGGAGGAAAAGGTCTAGGATTAAGCCCTAAGTAACCCCAATATTTAAATTTAAAGGCACTACAGAATTTACAAAGATGACTGCAAAGAATACATGAAGAAATAGGAGGAAAAGCAGGAAGATGCGGTGGAAGAGAAGACAGAAATGAAGGCGGTAGGGGTGGGGAGGGTGTTCAAAACGAAGTGAGTAATTAATACGATTTGACATACTGAAAAGTCAAGATGAGAACTGTTAAGAAGAGCTCCACAACAGCTGAAAAAAACTGAAAAGAAAAATTAGAAAAAAAAAAAAAAAAAGAGATGAGACCTAGAACACAAAAGAATTTCGAGCTAGTCCTGTGGATGTTTAAATATTGATGGAAAGAAGCCAATAGAGAGAGAAAGGATAAAAACAGACAAAAGTAACTGTTAATCTCAGGTTCCTAAAAACAGTATTTTTTTTTTTTTTTTTAGAGGTTAGGGACCAGGGCTCAGAGAAGGGATCCAAAGCACCCCTGGAGGAACTAGACAGGAAAATGGAAACCACATCCAGGATAACAAGAAGACAGAAAAAAAGATTTAGAACTATGTCTAAAATTTAGAGGTTTATAAATCTGATAAAGAAGTTAAAATATTTCACACTGATAGCTTTTTTTATGTGAAATAGAAAACAAGGTTTTTCTGCTGAGAGTGAGGAAGGAGAAGGTCAGATATTTAAAAAAATAAAATCTGACATAGTCATGGCAAACTGGGAAAAAGAGTGGAAGAGAGAAATGTGTCACGAATCCCAGGAAGTGCAGAGGACCTGTGACCTTGAATTTACAGTGGTGTCAGTGTGTCTGCTGTCTGACTCTTCTCCAGCCACATTAGCTAGCTATGCAAGTACACACACGGAAAATAGGGAAATGGGTTCATTGAAGGTGAAGTTTGCTAGACAACTGAAACAAAAGCCAACAGACAGTGTTCTGGGGTACCTGTAAAAAAAGTAACTGAAATAATGGACCATGGAATCTAAGCTAAATAGGAAGAGAAGTGAAGATAAAAAAGGGCTGCACGAACTGGAAAAAAGCAGAAGAGTCCACGGACCAGAGGCTCCGATGTGGGCACGGAAGAGTTGAAGTGGGAGTAACTGAGACAGACCACTAGAGAGACAGGGAAGAGGTTACAGTCAGAGTGGGATATTTCAAATTAAAATTTTACAAGTGGAACAGCTGCAGGTACGGCAAGGTCCAGGGTGTAAATGAGGTGGGAATAAGAAGCCGAGAAGGTGTTAGACAGTGAGAAAGTCGAGGGATCCACTGCCCCGTCTGCCTCCATTAGTCTGATGAGCTGCTGAACAGGAAACGCAACTGTCATTGCTACGTGCCTGACACAGGACACGTGGTCAATAAATGTTTGATGAGTAAATGAATGAACTGGTACAACAATTCAAGTTTCAAAGTTTTCTTTAACTTAGAAAATATTGCATTAAGTAGATTCATGAAAGTAATTCTTAAAAATTATTTTAAATTATTTCCTTTGGAAATAAGCTCATTCCAGTAACAAGATACTGGGTCAAAGGAAATTGTTCAACATGTTTTAATCATAAATATACAACAGTTCACTGCTATTTCGTGATGACAGAAATGCACAAAACCTCTTACTTTCAAAATGAACTATTCCATCAATCTGGTCAATAAATCCATTCATACGTCCTTCTGTTATCATTTGAGATGCTATTTTTTCTGCCTATAAAAGAAAACAAAAAAACTCTCAGAAACTTTAACTATATCTAACAGTTATTCACATAAGAGAACTGAAAGCTTTTGGTTTAAGTACCTATCACTAAGCTTTACATATGTGTTGATTTGCCATTCACTAGAAGAATAAACCTTACTTGTAAATCTGGCTATTTCCTCAATTCTTTCTGAGTATAACCCATTACCTTAAGTTAATCAGGATCTGTTTTCCTTGTGGAATTTTGTACATGAATATAGCTTTTTTTTTTTTTTTTTTTTACCAATTTTCGCCTCTGCTCACAATCAAACTAATAATTTTTCTACTCATCGGGTCCACACCTCAAAAAAATAAACTAGCTTTATTTCATTTCAATTTCCACAGTATTTATTACCCCATAAACTCTCTAAGAAAGTAATATTTTTTTAAGAAAAAATTGAAAAGAAGAATAGATGTTCAAATTAAAAAGGGAATTGAAAAGATTTAAAAGATAATTAATAGGAAGCAAAAGATCCTCTACCCAGCTCCTGAAGACATGTTTAATATTTACTATGTGTAAGCAAACTGAATTGTGATTTGGTCATTCATTAGTTGTGACCATCTTCACAATCAATCTTAAATCACTCCTGAACAGACTGTGACTAGCATTTATTGTTAAAGTACTGGGAGGCCAAGGTGGGAGGATTGCTTGAGGTCAGGAGTTCAAGACCAGCCTAAAAGACCAGCCTAAGCGAGACCCTGTCTCTACAAAATATAGAAAAATTAGCCGGGCATGGTGGCACATGCCTGTAGTCACAGCTACTCCGGAGGCTGAGGCAGGAGGATCGCTTGAGCCCAGGAGTTTGAGGTTGCAGTGAGCTGTGATGACGCCACTGCATTCTAGCTGGGGTGACACAATGGAGACTCTGTCTTAAAAAAAAAAAAAAAGATATTCACTTCCCTTAGTCTCAGCAAGGGATCATACCTCAAAGCGTATGAGGAAAGCATTTTTTTTTTTTTTTGAGTAGCTGGGACTAAAGGTGTGCACCACCATGCCCAGTTAATTTTTTTTATTTTTTTGTAGAGACAGGGTCTTGCTCTTGCTCAGGCTGGTTTTGAACTCCTGACCTCAAGTGATCTGCCCGCCTCAGCCTCCCAGAGTGCTAGGATTACAGGCATGAGCCACCGCGCCCGGCCTTCTACCTCAGTTTTTATCTATGAAGATACTCATG